TAAACATTCGCTATCACAGATTTTATTTTATTTTAATTTTATTTTTGAGAGGGAGTCTCGCTCTGTCGCCCAGGCTAGAGCGCAGTTGCGCCATCTCAGCTCACTGCAAGCTCCGCCTCCCGGGTTCACGCCACCCGCCTCTGCCTCCCCAGTAGCTGGGACTACAGGCGCCCGCCACCACACTCAGCTAATTTTTTGTATTTTTAGTAGGGACAGGTTTCACTGTGTTAGCCAGGATGGTCGATCTCCTGACATCGTGATCAGCCCGCCTTGGCCTCCCAAAGTGCTGGGATTACAGGCATGAGCCACTGCACCTGGCCTACAGAATTTTAATCAGAAATCATTAAAAATTCCATTTATGATTAATTTTTGGTTACAAATTTATGTTCCAGTAAATATATTCTTACAAAATTGTGATTCACTGCTGAGCTTTGAATCTTTTCTTCTGTAGTTTATTTCTTACCTTCAACTCTCAAGCCAGATAATTATGCTTATTCATAAAATCTATTATATTTCTATCCTTTTTTTTTAAACAATTATAGCCCATCTGGTTCATGCTTTCTCTTGAATTATTTGCTCTGAGGGAAGACAGCTGCCAAGTCATGAGGATACCAAACTTCTCTGTGGAAAGGACACAGGGCTTTCATGTCACTGATACATTTGTTGTCCATCTTCCTCTAAATTGATTCAAGTCCTTTTCTTTCTCATCTCTACTTTAATCTTTAGCATTTGCCATATGCCGGAACACCGACCCTTTGTGCCCATGCCAGATCTCTGCCTCAGTTTACGCTTTTGAGGAGAAATAATTCATGACAATAGATTTGTCTGTAATTAAAAACAAAACTGAAAATTTCCTTTCTAGAGTACCTGCATTATAGGTTTTTAAAAAAGTATAAACCACAGAACATTTAAAATAAGATTTGGTAATAAAAATTGAATTTATAAGATATTCATGGCATGAATTAAAGTATTTATTGGTTAAATATATTTAACCTTATATGTTAAAATATACATGTATAAAACTTAAGTTAAAATCTAAAATATCTATAATTTTTGAGGTCATTCTTTGATTTTTCTAAAAAAACAATTTCCTACCCAATATAGGGAACTACCTCAACACAATAAAGGGTATTTATGAAAAATCCACAGCTAGTATCATACTTAATGGTGAAAAATTGAAATTATTTCCTCTGAAGGTCAAGAACATGACAAGGAATGCCCATTTTTGCCACGTCTATTCCATATGGTACTGAAAGTCCTACCCAGAGAAATTAGGCAAGACAAAAGAAAGGCATCAAATTGGAAAGGAAGAAGTTAAATTGCCCCTGTTTACAGATGAAATGATCTTACATATACAAAACCCTGAAGACCTCATCAAAAAACTGCTAGAATAAACAAATGCAGTAAAATTGCAGGTTACAAAATCAACACACAAAGTATCAGTGGCATTTTTATACACTAACTATTTCTATTTGAAAAAGAAATCAAGAAAACAATTCCATTTACAATAGCTACTAAAACAATAAAATACCTACGAATAAATTCAACCAAGAAGAGAAAAATCTCCATATTGAAAACTACCAAAATTTGATCAAAGAAATTTAAGAAGGCACAAATAATTGGAAAGATATCTTGTATTCATGAACTGAAGAAATTAATATTGTCAGAATGTTGATACTATTCAAAGTGATCTACAGATTCAATGCAATGCCTATCAAAATTCCAATGACATTTTTCATAGAAATGGAAAAGATGATCCTAAAATTTGTATGAAACTACAAATGACCCCAGTCAGACCAATCTTGAGAAAGAAAAACAAAGTTGGAGGCTTCACACTAGGTCTATTATGGCACAAAAGACCAAATGCCATTTGTTAACATACAGTGAATAAAGGAAAGGTAGAAGAAACACTTGATTTTTCCTTTTATTCATATTTTTTCTTTTAGAATGAGTTGATTTTACAGCATCTTCCAAAGGTGACCAAAGACTTTTTTTCTTTACTTAAAACCATTCTGAAGTCATGAATTTAAAAAATGTTTGATATGTTTCAATTTATTGCATATATTCTTTTTGATATGCAGATAGTCCCCACATGGGCCGGGGGAGCTACCTTAAGTTGGTCCATGGGCCATTTTGATGTGACCCCAGCAATCTTGATACCTTCTCTTTGCTTTTTGTGATGAAAAAGTATTTTCTAGGCTTACCTTGTACTGTCCTGTCCCAAATCTGTAATCAATAATTTTTCCAAAGAGTCCTAGTCTCTTTTAGGAGACCTTTTAGTTTCTTTTTTTTTCTTTTGAGACAGAGTCTTGCTTTGTTACCCAGGCTGGAGTACGGTGGCGTGATCTAGGCTCGCTGCGAGGTCCGCTTCCCGGGTTCACGCCATTCTCCTGCCTCAGCCTCCCCAGTAGCTGGGACTACAGGCACCCGCTACCATGCCCGGCCAATTTTTCGTATTTTTAGTAGAGACAGGGTTTCACCATGTTAGCCAGGATGGTCTTGATCTCCTGACCTCATGATCTGCCCACCTTGGCCTCCCAAAGTGCTGGGATTACAGGCGTGAGCCACTGTGCCCAGCCTTTAGTTTCTTTTAAGACCTTTTAAGAATACTGGTCTTGTTTTCACTGTTTACTGAAAAGATTGAACTAGGGAATACACGTTTTTAAAGAGTAAAATACATCTTGAGTTCATAAACTCATATTTTCAATTCCAATTTAGAACTACAAGTTTATTCAATTTCTTTTGAGTTTCTTCTCTTTTATGATGAAAAATTCGGTTCTTAAAGACTTTTATAATAACTCAGCTGCCTTATCCTATAATTATAAGTTTCAGAACACCACCATGAATATTATTTCTAACAATATGACTACTAAAAACAGTTTATGATTTCTTGCATTTCCTTTAATCCTTAGGCTTTATCCCACACAGTCTAATTACTATGTTTAATATCACTTGAAATAATTCATCTATGTAGTTAAGCCATCAACTTCCTATATAATTAAGTTAATTTGTTTAATTTTACTTTTGATTTTTAGGTATTGCTTTTCAAATTTTGATTTAATTTGAAAAATAATTATATAAACATTTATATAGTTCCAAAATTAAGCTTATAAATCTACAAAACAAGGTTCATTCAAAGAAGTCTATCCTTCATTCTGTCCCCCTCTCTCCTCTCAGAGATTACCTTTGAATTATTTTTTGGCTCACCTCTTCATTTTTAAAAACACAAATGTGTATATGTGTGTGTATGAGTGTGTGTGTACATATATTGTTTATATACACATATGTGCACAAACCCACACACAGGCACACACACTCCTCACTCTTAATGAGTAGAATACTATACCTACTGTTACATTACCTTTTTTTAACCTTAATATACTTCAGATATTGCTCCATGTGCTAGGATTCTAACTGGGATTACACTGAATCTATAGGTATATTGGTGGGGGAGAATGAACATAATTATAATATTTAGCATTCTAATTAATAAACATGGTCTCTGCCTTTATTTAGACTTTAATTACTCTTAATATTATACATAGTTTTCAAACAAAAGTCTTACATATCGTTTGTTAGATTTGTTGCTAGGTATCTGATGTTTTTTGATGTAATTATAAATTACTTTTAAAGTTTTATTTTTGAAATGTTTGTTACTGGTATATAGATTACAAATGGTTTTTCTATATTCACTTAATAGTTTGTCTATCAATTATTTTGGACTTTTTACATATTTAACCATGTTGTCTTCCTTTCCATTTTGTCAACCTTTTATTTCTTTTTCTTGCCTTAGTGCACTGATTAGGACTCCAGTACAAAGATCAATAGAAATGGTAATAGTGAACTTCTCTGACATCTTCTCAGTCTTCAAAAGAATGTTATTGACATTATTTTTTGCCACTGAGAACAATGTTTGCTATAGAATAGATGGCTTTAGAAAATTAAGGAAATTCTATTCCTAGTTTTTTAAAGGAATATTTTTAAAAAAATCAATAAATATCACCCATTATTGCTTATTCATTTTCTGAATTTTTATTTTTTATTTTTACTATTTTGTCTTTATTTCTGTTTCTCTGGATACGCTTTCTCAGTCTCTCTCAGTGGAATAATTTCCCTAAACTTTACATTTTGAAACTCAGTCCTCAGTTTCCATCTCTCTATCCTCTTTTTCAACATGTTCTCATTCCATGACTTTAAAAATCATGTGTATGTTAGTCATTCATAAGTTTATAGCTCTTACTGTAATCTCTCCCCTGAATATCAACTTACATACATAATTGACTAGTTGATATCTTGACTTAAATATCTTTTGGGCAGCTCATACTTAACAGCCCAAAGCAAACTTCCTGTGATTATCACCAACCCTTTATAACCGAGTTTAAGCCACCACTATTTTATACGCGGACTATCATAGTACTAGTTTCTTTCTTCCTTCTCTTACCCTTGCCTCTTTACAGTCTATTCTTTTTTTTAATAGACTTTATTTTTTATAGTAGTTTTAGGTTTACTATAGTAAATCATACAGTGATACAGATCATACAGTGATCACAATCATCTGTTGAACATTTAAGTCTGATCACATCACTTTGCTCGAACCTCTCTAATCTCATTCCCACGTTGAAGCTCTTGAGCTTCCCATCTCATTCAGCACAAAAATCTCAAGTTTTTTCTGAGGAAGGGTCAGATAACTTTTTCTCAAGGGCCAGAGAACAAATTATTTCAGGTTTTGCAGGCGAAACAGATTTTGTTGCAACTATCTAAACTAATATATCCAACAAAAACTACTACATTTTATGAAACATGCATGAAATTTGTAAAAAATATAATATTTGCTTTGGTTTATGACATAATATTTTTACAGTAGTTTCATAAATATTTACTGAATAAAAAGATAAGGTTCAGAATTATACATTTTTTTAAAAAAGTATGGCAAGGACATTAAATTACAGGTTAAAGAATTTCTTCTGTAAAACATGTCAAACAACTAACAGTAGACTTACTTTAGATTATTGATTCTAATTTCAGCACTTTCAGTAAGTTTCTTCGTTTCTTCTTTCCACCTATTGGCTGCCTTCTGTTGAGTCTCTAGGAGATGCCTCAGTTCAACAATGGAATTTCTATTACTGTCTTCCATCTCTCTCAATTGAACTTCAAACCCACGTTCCTTTACTGAAAATTCATGTTCCATTGTACTGATCTAAAAAACAAAATGAAAACATATTTTCTTTTCTTATAGGTGCTATACTGCTCAATGATATATACAAAAGGAATCACTCATTGTATTGTCAGAGGGACAGAAATGTTTGGATGACAAAACTATGTAAGAAATCAAGTTTGGTCAGATGCGGTGGCTCACGCCTGTAATCCCAGCACTTTGGGAGGCCAAGGCGGGCAGATCATGAGGTCAGGAGTTTTGAGACCAGCCTGAACAACATAGTGAAACCCCTTCTCTACTAAAAATACAAAAATTAGACAGGTGTGGAGTGTGTGCCTGTAATCCCAGCTACTCAGGAGGCTGAAGCAGGTGAATCGCTTGAACCGGGGAGGTGAGGGTTGCAGTGAGCTGAGATCGCACCACTGCACTCCAGCTTCCTGGGTGACAGAGTGAGACTCTGTCTTTAAAAAAAAAAAAAAAATCAAGTTTACAATTGGTCTTCATCATAAATGAAAACTTACAATGTTATGTCAGTAAAACTAGAATTATGATTAACTATGTTTTTTGCAACACTTTCCCTAACACCTTAACATGCCAGTAAAAGTGTACTATCTATTACAACGTAACACTTCTCTCTTTATTTACTCTGATTTTTGTTGCCAGAATCCAAGGAAAGTGTTGATGCTGTTGGTATCTGAGTTAGGTATTTACTCAAACCACTTTTGATTTACATACTAAACTTGAAATTCTTTCAAAGGGCTTTGTAAAGTCAAAGATAATTATATACAGGAATTTCTTTACCACTTCAGCTGTAGTATTAGTGAATGATTAATGAACGAATTATTTTTCAGGAGAAAGAGACAATATAAATAATGATTTTGAAAATCTCTTACGAAACTGTCTTCAGTACACTTCTAAGAATTTATGTCATTATAGTAAAAGCACTTTAATTGCAGAATGAACTTATAAGTAAATGCTCTTTGGATACCCTAGAAGCTTTCTCTACTGGGGTTCAGGGAGAGAATTAAGCCCTAATGCTTTAAGGCATCCAATGTATATAATGACTTGCCTTCTTTCATATGTGTCTAGAATATAACTACCTAAGTACCATGTTTGGGGAAATTGAGAAAAAAGTTACTGAAACATTTTTCTACATTTTGTGGTTCAGATGAAAAACACTTGTGGAAAAAGGCAGCAAGGTGATCTGACTTCCTTATTGTACTCTCAGGCCATCTATATTTTGCTATACTAAAGAAGTATTATAAAGAACAACTATCTTGTGATACTTTAATTGCTTTAAAAATGGCCACAGCTGGCTAGACTTCCAGTAATTCATTAAACACGGTTACTCTCAAACTCAAAAAAGAACGAGACTCAACTTTACCATGTCAAAAAACACAAAACAAGGCCCAACAACAACAAAATTCTTGACTCACTGAAGCAAACTGCAAACATCCTGTCCTTGCCACCCCTGCTAAATGCAACATGCTTCCTAAAACTCTACAGTTTGCTTTCTCAAATAGTACACATGCAGAAATTTAAGACTTTATAAATCCAGACACTGGAAAAACAATATTGGATGTGTTAGTTTTGGGTTGTATTACTGCTGTGCAAACCTACTGAGGCCCCTTGACCCCTGCTGCTATCTTAATAATGTTTGAATTATTAGATTCTGCAAATTTAGATTGCCTGCCCTTTCTCCTTCCCTGCCTTAATCTTCACCTCCTCTGGAGAAATCATGTTAGTCTAACATCTCAGGTGGAAAACAAAAAGTACAGCCCTTATGAGTGTCTGTCTCTCTCTCTCACGAACACGTGTTAAAAACTGATCTATGGGCCAGGCACGGTGGCTCATGTCTATAATCCCAGCACTTTGGGAAGCTGAGGCAGGCAGATCACTGGAGGTCAGGAGTTCGAAACCATCCTGGCTAACAGGGTGAATGAAACTCCATTTCTACTAAAAATACAAAAATTAGCCAGGTGAGGTGGCAGGTGCCTGTAATCCTAGCTACTCAGGAGGGTGAGGTAGAAGAATAGCTTGAACCTGGGAGGCGATGGTTGCAGTGAGCCACGATCGGGCCATCGCACTCTAGACTGGGTGACAGAGCTTCTCAAACAAACAACAACAACAACAAAAACAAAAAACCATATACGCACACAAAACTGATCTATGCATCTGTACAGTTTTATAATTTGGCTGCCTAGTTAACTCCCACTCTCACTTGGAAAATCTGTTTATCATTTCACAAGCTTTGCTTTAAGATCCTTCATGATAACCTGTTCCCTGCTTACTTTTACAAGCTTGTGTTGTGCCACACTATTCCCTTCCCTTTCTTTTATTTCCACTATAATGCCTTTTTATTCTTTGGTTCTTTTCACATGCTGTTTCTTTTGCCTGAAATAATCTCTTTCTGCTTACCTATTTCAACTTTTGGAACTCACTGAGTTTATAATTATATATTTAAAGTTTGCTCACCTACATGCAAATTATAAGCTTTTAAGGATGGGTACCATATCTGTTTAGTTTACTATTGCATATTTAGCACCTGGAACATAGTACGGTTGTCAAAACATATTTGCAGATTGAATGGCGGCTTTTTGGTGTCAAAATTCAGTCTTTAACAAGCCCCATAGCCTTTAGTAGATACAATTCGAATTGCTAAGTAAATTGGACAGGTCTGTGGTAATGCTGACAGGCTAAGGGCCCCAACAACTATCTCCTATTACAAAAATTCCACTAATGATAAAATTCAGAAAGTTGGATGGGAAAAAGGGTTTTATGGTCTCTCTTCTTTCTTCCTTCTTCCTTCCTTTGCAGAGAAATATCCACACAAGTAGATTACTGAATTGCTGGAAACGACTCTATTTCTTAATTTTAGATGGTTATGAGGGGGGAATTTAGACCATAAAGAAATGGAGAGCCTTGGCAAAAGGAGTAGTTAGAAAAGGTGAAAGCTAGGGCTGAAATCAATGCAGTGGCATTAAGATCAAATGAAAACTTCAGATGATAAATTGTTAAGGTTCGTGGCCTACTGACCTCCCAATTTCTCACTGTCTTTATCTTTTTGGCTTCTTTCAGTTGATCTACTGAAGATCATACTCTTTTGCAATGGGGAGAAAAACAGCAAGGTGTAGGTGCACCAGGTTCCTATTTTGTCAAAGAAAGAATCAGTTACAAAGCAATTTATCTGAGAGCCTTCCTCCTCCCTAAAATAGAATTATAGCTAGTTAGTTAAGAGGTTCGGCTCTTTATCAATGGCTATTCTCTTAAGCTAGACACAGATTTGGTGAGATATGTGGGGTAGATAAACTTTCTATCACTCTTTTGTTCTCCATACCATCAGTTACTATCCTGAAATGTTAAAGAAAGATCAAGTGGTGTCCTAGATAGGAAAAATTCATTGATTCCATCCCCACTCATTATAAAAAAAAGAAAACAAATATATACTGTAAAATTATGGAAAATAACAAAGCATTGAAGTGAAATGTTAAAGACAGATCAAGTGGAGTACTAGATAGGGAAAATTCATTGATTGCATCCCCACCCATGATTAAAAAAAGAAAACAAAACAAATATATATTATAAAACTATGGAAGATATAAAGCATTAAAAAGACAAATATAAGGTGCCTCTATTCCCAAAACTCAGACAATCACTTCTAAATTTTACATAATTGTTTTTATATATGAATTCTAAAATTGTTATTACAGTATGTAAAGGAGTACTACCCGTATATGTGTGTGTGTGTGTGTGTGTATATATATATATATATATATTAATCATAGGGTGTATCAATATAAATGCATGATAAATTATTTGGAAATATAGTTTTTAATGACAATACAGTACCTTATTAAAAACATATACACTATATATCAAAAATATATATGTGTACACACACAGGTAGTAATCCTTTATACACTAAAGTAACAATTTTAAAATTCATAAATAAAAGCAATTATGTAGAAGTCAGAAGTATTATCTGAGTTTTGGGAGTAGAGGGACTTTATATTTGTCTTTTTAATGTTCTGTATTTTCTATATTTTGCTATCTATAGATGTAACATAATTATTCACTTCTAGATATTTAGGTTGTTTCTAATTTAGTATAAATAATGCTGCAATGAACTTGTGAAATATTTTAATTATTTTCTTATGACTGAATTTTAGACTCTAAAGTAAATATGTACCATTTAATACTTTTAGCTGCATGTTCACTCAGAGATACTTAGCAATTAATTAATAGTGAGTTTAAACTGCTTATTGCCTACTGGTTTTTTTTCTTAGTTTGTAGATTCTGTTAATCTCTCACATGATTTTTTATTCGGTTACAAATATTTTTATCTTGTATTTTTAAAAGCTCCTGAGGTATGGTCTTAGAGCTTTCTGTCACATTTGTTAAAACTATCTACCTCCCAGTGATTTCTTTTTGGAACATTTAAAAATGGTTTTAAATATTTAACAACATATTTAAATTTATCAATATTTTCATTTGCAATTTCTTCCCTTTTTTTGCTTAGAAAGTTCTCTTTCAGTTAAATATTCATCTACATTTCCTGCTAATGTTTTATGGAATCATTAACATATTAACATAATGCATATGAAATTTATCATATACAGTTTATAATGAGATGAAGACACATTCTTTTCACCAAAGTACACTTTTTAAAAATCATAGAAATATTTTAGTATGAAAACTTTTGAGCATACACAAAATAGAATGTTACACTTCCTGTATGCCCATCACCCAGCTTCCATAATTGTCCAACCATCAAACTCATAGGCACTCTGGTTTCATGTATACTCTTGCTATTCTTGCCTACTTTCCTCTGCGAAGATTTATCTGTTTCTTTCTTCTAATGAACTGTGTACGTCTTAAAAGATCAGCTCAGTTTTTACACATACACTGACATACCGAAGTCATCAAATAGATTTAGATACCCCAGGAGGTTCCCTCATGTGTCCTTCTAATCAGTACTCATCCATTTAAAAGGTAGCTATTCTGATAGTATCCTCATAGATAATTATGCTTATTCTTCACTACCATATAGTGAAATAAAATATAAGCTTTTGTATGTTTGGCTTCTTTGCTCATCTCCTTGTCTATGAGACTTATCCACTATTGCTTATATAGTTCATTATTTTTCATTGTTGCTTCTATTCCATTACATGAATATATCACAATTTATTCATACAATTTCATGTTAATGAAATCATTGTTTTTAGCCTCTACGAATATTCTTGTCCACATGTTTTGATGAACGTAAGCCTCTGTTGGGTATGTAGCCAGGATTATTTGGCATAAGATATATATTAGTCCGTTTTCATACTGCTATGAAGAAATACCCGAGACTGGGTAATTTATAAAGAAAAAGAGGCTTACTGGACTCACAGTTCTCACAATCGTGGCAGAAGGTGAAGGAAGAGCAAAGGGATGTCTTATATGGCAGCAGGCAAGAGGGCATTTGCAGGGGAACTGCTCTTTATAAAAGAGCTGGGCACATTGGCTCTTGCCTGTAATCCCAGCACTTTGGGAGGCTGAAGCAGGTGGATCACCTGAGATCAGGAGTTTGAGACCAGCCTGGCCAACATGGTGAAACCCCAACTCTACTAAAAATACAAAATTAGCCAGTTGTGGTGGCACACAGCTATAGTCCTAGCTACTTGGGAGGCTGAGACAGGAGTCACTTGAACCTGGGAGGCGGATGCTGCAGTGAGCTGAGATCGCGCTACTGCACTGTAGCCTGGGAAAGACAGAGCAAGACTCCATCTGAAAACAAACAAACAAAAACAAAACAAACAAAAAAAACACCAAAAAAACCCATCAGATCTTGCGAGACTTATTCACTATCATGATAAAAGCATGGGAAAACCTGCCCCCATGATTCTGGGTCCCCCCATGACACGTGGGGATTATGGAAGTACAAGATGAGATTTGGGTAGGAAGACAGTCAAACCATATCAGGATGTATGTATGTCCGGCTTTAAAAGATACTGCTACATTCCCAGCAGTATCTATCGAGGTTCTAGTTGCTTTATATTCTTACAAATATTTGATATTTTTAGTCTTTTTAATTTTAGCCATTCTGGTGGTGTGTACTGTTATCTTATGGTTTAAATTTAAATTCCCCTGAAAAATAGTGAAGTTGAACATATTTGCCTATATGCTATTTTATGAAGTGCCTACTTACGTCTTTTGCCCTTTTCTGGAAATGGAATATCTATTTTTTCCTTATTAACTATTAGCTGTTTTTTCCTTATTAATATTTTTCTTATTAATTGGTAAGAGTTTTTATATTTTGGATATGAGCTCTCTTTTTGGTAATATGCACTACAAATACTTTCTCGTACTTTCCCCTTTCTTAATGGTGTCTTTTGGTGACTAAAAATATCTTAATTTTAGTGAAATCCAATTCAGCTTGGATTTTTCACTATGATTAGTGTTTTTTGTGCTCTGTTTAAGAAATATTTTCCAACCCAAAGGCATGAAGATTTTCTCCTAGAAACTATCATTTCACATTTTACATTTAGGTCTACAAGGCAGCTCCAACTAATTTGCATATGTGCTGTGATATAGGAGTTAAGTTTTATTTTTAAAATGTGGATCTGACTGATCTAGCACCATTTGTGAAGCCAGTTTCCCCCTCACTGAACTGCAATGGTGCCTTTGTTATAAATCAAGTGATTATGATAAATGAGTTTGTTTCTAGACTCAATTTTTTGCCATTGATCAAGTTGATTATTCTTATATTGATAACACATTGTCTAAATTATTTTAGCTTTTTATCAAGTCTTGATATCTGGTGGTATGGTTCCTCTCCCTGTTCTTCAAAGAACTCCCACAGTCTAAAGCTCAAAGTAAAAACTTCTCTGTAAATAAGACTCTCTTTTTCATTTCAGAGTTCAAGGTTTTACAAATAACTAGGGTATTTCATACTTGCAATAGGAGGCATTCAAAAAATATATATTGACATGAATTAGGTTGGAATATGACTTCTTAGGAGTTCTCCCAGAAATAAAAACCAAAATAAAACAATGACATGACCTCTTCATATTCTTACTATGAAATTGGAAGATGTAGATATTTATCATAAAAAGTCAGTGCCACTTTTTATAAAAGTCTCATCACATGGGGAAAGGTAAGCAAGATGTTGATGAAGATATTTGTGTTTCTTGAAAGTCCCTTAAAAGGAGGATCATCTTCCTACTACTAAACCATATAAGCATCAAAGGACAAGGAAATAAGAGAGAAAAGAAAGGGAATTTGTTTTAGATGACATTTTTGCCTCTTGCCTTCTTCCTGCCACGGAATTTTCAGACTAGCTGTGAATGGTTCTCAGAGCCTGCTGTTGTAACATCCTCTATACAGTTAGTTTTAGAGAAGTTCAACTTTTCAAAGGCTACTATATGGAGAGAAGAGAGGAAGGCAGTCTGTAAAGTTACCTAATCTATGGTTTTGCTAGTGGTGCTTAAATTGCTTTGGCAGGAATAACAGTATATTTCATGGTTAGAAAAGAATTTTTGTGTGTGTAGCAAAGGCAATCATTTTCAAGTATGCCTGCCAAGTTCTACAACACAGAAATGATTGGTTAACACTCTGAATTATGACTTAGTGCTATTTGATGAGAAGGCACAAAAAAAAAGGGGGGGGCCTTAAAGATATTTTGCTAGGTATCTCTAAATATTCTCCATACTTTGATTTTCGTAAGTACACATTTAACTCTAGTCTTGAAAATACCTTTAATTTGGCTTTTTTTTGAGCCTCCAGGGCAATCTTCCTTAAACTCTCAGTCTCCTTCCGTAACTGTTTATTTTCTTGCTGAAGTTTTAGCCTTTGTTCACTGACAAGCCCACAGTTCTCTCTCTCAGACTCCAACACATTTTGAATTTTCTGAATCATTTCTTGGTAACGTGATATTTCTTCTGAGGAGCTAATTAAAAAACGAAATGAAAAGAATCCTTAAACTTAATAATCTATAGTAGAAGATAAAAGTCTGTCTACATTTTATCACATGGACTTTTGTTTGCTTTATTCTGAGCCATTTCTTTCCACTTTAGACTGAAACTATGTGGTTTCAAAATGTTATGTTATACCAGGCAAATACATTCAACTTAAATATATTCAAATCTTAACTAAGAACAGATGAACTGAACTGTTATCACTTATCTAGAAAATCAATGTGAGACTTCTTTCAAATTTGTACTAACATTAAGAATCACTGTGTATGGAGAACTTCAAGGGAATGAACCGAAGGAACAAAAAAAGGATGAAGCAGATAATAACCAACATTCCTTTACTTAATCAATAAACTCTATAGACTAACACAATAGCTGACTATATTACTAAATTATAAAATCTACTTTTATATTTTCCCATTATATGTCTTAGAAAGTTTTCATAAACTTCTAGTTCTGTAAACTTCTCATTTTATCATAGGTTAAATGGATTATATTTCCTGAACTTTCTCAACAATGGATCACTGATCACCGGGTGAGACAACCTCTATACGTTAATGTTGCTTCAGTCAATATACTGCTAATTTTTATTCCTATCTTTTAAAACTTCCATCTTTTCAATAACAGATAAGCCCTGTGAACATTCCCTGGTTAATAGGTTTCACAGGGAATTGTATAGAAATGCTACTAATATTGTGAAAACTTAAGAAAACTACTAGTTAAAAGTATTTTGCAAGCAGAAAAATTCTTAAAATAAAGAAGCAACTTTCTCATGGTGGCAGTTTTATCACCATGAACCACTCCTTTATGGTCCTATTTTGACATTCTGACCTGCCCATATCTGCCAGTGCTTTGGGTGAAAACAGTTAGTGACTGATTTTCTTTGATCTCTACCTCTGTCTTTCTAGATCTTTGCTTCCCCAGCAACTCTCACATTCTTGCAAATTCTGTTTCCTACATTAAATCCTTTATTCCCACAATACTCATAGTCTTTTTTCTGTCTAAACCTTGGTTGATAAAGTTTCTAATAAAGTGACATATCTAGGCAATGATAATAAAAGGATGCTAACACCAGAAAGAGGCTGAGACCAGAAACAACCACACATTGTGAGCCTCCTAATAGAAGTCCACAATATCATCATCTATGAAGAATTCTTCCAAAAACAACAACAAAAAAAGAAAGCTAGACCAGATCAAGCCTCTGGGTCTAATTACTAGTTTTTAGGAACTACATGAGACAGAGTAAACAGCATCAATATATAGGCATGTAGTGGAGGAAACTCTACATTACTAAGAACTAGTTTTTAAAACAAATTATTTGCAACAACAACAACAAAATACAGAAAAGGGGATTCCCAGAGATTAAAGGAGATGCAAGACTACAGCACTCCAAGCATTCCTGAAATTAGAAATGGACAGGAACACTCACACTCAAGAGAAACCCTTTAAATGAAGTGACTAAGAAAAATTCATCAAATACATCTTAAAGCACATATGAAAACTAGGAGAAAAACTCTCTGGATGTGGAGAATGTGGGAAAGTCTTCATTAATTCCTCATGTCTTGATGAACGTGTAAGAATTCACACTGAGGAGAACTCTGCTTATAAAAAGAATGCATGGGAGCCTTTAGTCATTTCTCATTTCCTTAATGAAGGAAAAGAACTCACACTGGAAAAAACCCTGTAAATCTAAAGAAGATGGGCTAATCCTTATCCTTCACTCAACTTCCAAAATTTATCCTGGAGAGAAGCTTTTTGAAAGTAAGGAACATGGGAGGGTCTTTTACCCAGTCCTTGCACCTTATTCTATGTTTACACCCTTTAGGAAATATGTGAGAGTTCACCTTGGAGAGTAACTTTATGAATATAAGGAACATAAAGAAGACATTGATATCTCCTTTTACTACACACACACAAAATACTCATAATGCAGAGAGACCATGTGAATTAAAACAAATGCAGGAATGCTTTCATTCAATACTCCTCCTTTAAGAGACATATGGGTATATACATTGGAGAGAAGCCCTGTGAATGTATGGTATTGGGAAAAGCCTTCATGTGTGATACTTCTCTTAGTACATACAAGAAGATTTATGCTGGAATAAACCAGTTTCTCCTGCAGGTTTGATCTGGAAGTAACCATATGAGCAGATTATCTGAATAGGTTATTGAAAATGACACATATATTTATTAAACAAATTTGCAGGATCTCTTTTTGAAAAAAACTTTATTAAGTAACTTAGGTATTAGTATTTATTTAAAAAATATATTTTGAACACATACAGAGATAGAGATTTCAGGCAATTCAAATAAGAAAATTTTGCTATGTTAGGTAATACCATCGGGGTGGGGAGGTAGAAAAATACTCAGAATGGATATGTCAAATTATGACTTTATCACTTTTATAGACAATAAAATATACAAGATGGATCATTATAGAATATTCACTATAACAAGAAACATACTAAATATAGGTAATATAAAAGAATATAAGCAAGATATTATAATAGCTTCACAATTAGTACAAAGACAACAATATTATAAACATCCTATTTAATTGCCAGAAAGGATACATTTAAAAGAAAATGGTATGCTACTGTTAAACCTTTTCTTCCTGCAGAAATTCGTTTTCAGAAATAATCTTGAATAAAATTATATTTGGTCCTAAATTTTTTTTTCAACATAAGATATATTGTAAGTCCTACCAAAAAAAAAAAAAAAAAAAGAAAGGTAGAGAATCTGTCAAAAATCGTGTTAATTCTGAAGATGTTATCACAGAAAATCCAAAAGAAAAACTTACTCAATTTCAAGTTGTTTTATTCTATTTTCTGCTCTCGTCAGTCTCATCTGAAGATCATCTTTTGAACGCTCTGAAACCAGGAATCTTTGGTGCATTTCTTCCAGTTTTCTGTAATCACTTTCATTTCCTCTGCCTTCACGGTAAATCTGCAGAAGAGGCTTATTATGTATATAATATTACAGAAGAAACTGTCTTAATAAACAGTTTAGAAACAGAAATCAATGGAAGAAATGAAAAGCCATGAACATGTATTCATTTGTTCTGACCGTAACATATGAAACATATCAATAATTAAATCTGGTTCTCTCACATTTACAAAATAAAATGCTAAAAACTGATATATAAAATAATAATTGTTTTGAGACTAGCCTGGGCAACATAGCAAGACCCCGTTATCTAAAAAAAATTAAAAAATTAGCCGGGCATGGTGGCTCACACCTGTAGTCCCAGCTATTAGGGAGGCTCAGGTAGGAGGATCCTTGAGTCAAGGAGATCAAGGCTGCAGTGAGCCATGATCATGTCCACTGTACTCCAGTCTGGGCAACAGAGCAAGACCTTGTCTCTTAAAAAATAGAGTTTATTTTTTTGGAATTATTCATGCTCATGGTAAACTATGCAATAATACAAAAATGTAAAGCAGCTGAAGTAAAAATCAATGGCAACTTAGAGATAACCACTGGTGATTCTTTGATGAATACCGTTCAATACAATCCTCTATTCTAATATTCAAAAATAAAGATACATACCATGGTGCAATAACTAGAACTCTCTGAAAGTGACTCTAGAATCTCACTCTGGGTTACCTGGACAATGATCTAGCTTGGATGGGGCTTCCCCTTCTTCAACAGTGGTGGTTGTACCCAAGCTCAGCTTTCCATGCAATGGGGCTCCCTCTTACAGCACAGGGTCTGTAACATCCTAAGGGATCCAAGGTCTTCAGGTGCTAAGCAGTTCACATGTTGAGGCAAATCCTGCACACAGCTACCCTCGAAATCTAGACTGCCTGACCAAGTAACCTGTGTCTTCCCCACTGACAGGACTGCTTTGTCACTCTCTATAAAAACATGGAGTATCAGCACGTCAACATTCCGCTACTGGAATACAGAACTATGCTGCAGACCCAGCAGTTCTTTGACCTTAGCACACTGGTCTGTGGAACAGTGGGAGAATAAGGTGCTGTGCTTTCCCTTTACCTGCTGTCTTTTGCCTTGTAAGATTTACATTTCCCCAAAAGCCTTTTCCTTAACCTTTGCCATGTGATATTGAAACATTCATCCCAAACCCTGATGTATAACAGGTGGCAATCTAAATGGGAACTGATATGCAGATGGAAACTCAGAAGGGACCTACCTTGCAGGAGAGTGGTAATTGTAAGTCCTACTTTGAACACGTTATTTTTTTTTCACAAATGGAACTGTACATTATGTTTTGCTTTGTGTATTACTCTTTTACTGATGTCATAATTTTTTTCATGTTGATAATAGATATAGACCATAATTTTTATGCTACATAGCTCTTCTTTGAAAATCAAACTCTGACTCTACCGTTTACCACTTTTTAACACTGGGTAAGTTACTTAACCTCTCTATGAAAGTTCTTAATGCAGCACCTAAAATACAGTAAGTGCTCAATCAAATTTGGTCTCCCTTTCTTTCTCCAAGGTACTTTAAAAGAGTAGGATATTACTGCTAATACAAAAGTATATGAAATAAATGAATTTTAAACTATGGACTTCTCCCAATAGTTTTTCTGAAATATCACGGGGGTAAATATTCTTCCTAAGTGTGAAGTTAAAATCTGTACTTCTAAAAGGTAAAAATCATAGCAATGCTATAATTTTCTGGTTATATATACTTGTTTTATTTATAGATGGCCTAAGCACCATAAGAGCTAATATAAAATTCAAAAAGAAAGTAAAGACAAAGTGAAATTTCATAGGATGAGGTTTAAGCAAGAAATACAGCTACTTCAAAAAATTTGTAACTTTAAGTACAAAGTTCAAAGAATACAGCCGCTCTTGGAAAAGTATTGTATCCAGGCAACATCAGTATTTAACTGCAGACTCTATATATATTTAAGGAAAGTGGGAGGCTGAAGCGGGCGGATCATGAGGTCAGGAGATAGAGACCATCCTGGCTAACACGGTGAAATCCCATCTCTACTAAAAATACAAAAAATTAGCCAGGCGTGATGGCAGGCGCCTATAGTCCCAGCTACTCGGGAGGCTGAGGCAGGAGAATTGCTCGAACCTGGGAAGTGGAGGCTGCAGTGAGACGAGATCGTGCCACTGCACTCCAGCCTGGGTGACAGAGTGAGACTCCATGGCAAAAAAAAAAAAAAAAAAAAAAAAAAAAAAAGAAAAAGAAAAGAAAAGAAAAACTTACCAGGACAATACTAACAAATAAAGGAATTGCTAGTAGATAGCATGATGGAAACAGACAGTAATGTTGCCTATTAGCAGTTGGGTTTTAGGTAGTTATATTTCCTTTTTCTTTTTACCTTTTCTAGTTCTTCTTCCACTGCTTTTTTTTCCTTAATGACTCGTTCAATTTGGCCTTGTTTTTCAGCACACTCCTATAAATTCAAGTCATATTGTAAATATATACATTTGGTAACATCTTAAGAAAAGTGGGGAAAAATGGAGAAGTAAAATAATTTGTTCATAATGGGAATATCATAGTTATCAACACAAGTTTAAGGTTACATTGATTAAAGACAAAACTCAATGTTTGAAGAGCAACCTAACCCAGGATTTCAGAAACTGCCTCCAGCAGTAGGATGCCACGGAGTTCTAATTAAACAGATTAGGTGGGAGACAGAGGTTGGGGGATTCCAGGGAGAAAAAAATATGAATGGAACTCCTTTCTCATACTATAGATTTTCTTTTTACATACTCTTATCAAGTATTTTGAAAAGGGAAGTAAGAACCAGATAGTGGCACAAAACCCTCAGGGATAACCCATGGCCTAAAAGATACGTGGGTGTATAAACTCTAAAAAAGTTAACTTTTTTCTTTACAAAAATTATAGCAAACAGAAATACTAAAAATATTTTATTAGCATGAACATAAAGTATTTCTCCTCAAAAGATTTTACTCAGTATTTAGCAAGCATATCAATTAGATAATAAAATCTAATTTTGCTAATGCACCTAAAACAAAAAAGTCATAATAATTATTAGTTCTTCACAATTATTTGTATTTATACATTTATTTTGGAGAATGGGTAATGGGTATGGCTTTTTTTCTCTCTCTTTTTTTTTTCTAATTGTGAATCATACTTTGGAGGAACCCGCTTTGCTAACAGTGCATTACTTACTAATGATGTTCAATTATTTTATAGAAGAAGTGTACTTCAATATGTTTTTAAATTTTAAAGTAAGCTTCTTTTGTGACCCAAAATTAATCACCATTGATTATAATGAAGATCTTTAACCCTATGTTACAAATCAGTTGACAAATTTAAATTTAATGTCTTTTATTAAGATAGAACCCTGAGTGTATACAAAATGCAACATTAATATTCCATATATTCATATAGGAAGTTGCTTATCCAGGAAAGGGTAGCTTCAGTGCTAAATTTGGGATTTTACCTACATTTGTAACTCCTCCCATGTGATTTTTAATATATGTTAATAACAAAGTCTGGTTCACACTTCTGGGGCTGGTAAGTGGTATATAAAGAAATGCATGTGTAAGTAGGCTTCATATCCCTCTCCACCCAATCCACCATTTTACTGACAAATGATGATGGCCTAAAGAATATTTGGTTAACTTGGGGGTAAAAAAAGTAAAATGAGACAGCAAAGTTTAAACCTTTAGAGAGAATTACCATACTAATTCTATTATAAATGCACTATAATACTAAAGCGAACATCAAAAATTACTATTACAAAGTTTTTAGAGATATTTGCTTATCACCACTGACATGCCTACCTTTGGGGGAAAATATGACAAAATAATAGGTATTTTTTCAGGTACTCATGGAGTATTTCCAAAATAATACTCTATAAAAGAAGTCTCAAAACATACTAAGAACCAATCATATACACCATGATCTGTGCTGCCGACCTAACCAAATGAGAAATCAACAATAACAGGCAGTGTAAATCCTCATGTATTTATAAACTAAAAAAAAAAAAAGACTTCCAAAAAATTCATTCATCAAAGAAAAGATCATAATGAACATTTTATTTTACTTCTGTAAGTTTGAACATTTTATAATTAATTTTCTTATTTGATATAGATTAATAGCAATCTGCTACATGGCACAATAAAACCTTGAATATTCTTAAGAGAAACTACACCTTACCAGAGAAAACAAAGGCTGTTAGGTACACGTTGGTCTTCAAAGGGAGATATGTAGCTTGAAATACAATGGTTCTGGCTTTTTCTTAATCTATTAAATAATCTGCACACTCATCTAAAATACAAGTTTTTCTCCTTCCTGTGAGCATACCTTAATTTTGGGTTAGCAAAAGTATGCTTAACTACTTTCCTGGACTTCATAGTGTAAATAATAGTATGGATGGATAGTATATTAATACTAATACTATTAGTATAGATAGTAAAATTGTTAATAATAGAAAACAATAGCAAGCATCAGGTTATTATGCTTCAAACTGCAGCTTAGATTTTTTGAGAAAATCTGTCTTGAAGTAGCCAAATGTTTTCCTTTGAACATATTTTTAACATATTTAATACTTCAAACTTTTCAATTACACAGTATAGTTCTCCCCATAGAATCAACATGACTACCAGATGTTTTAGAAAAATCACTTAGCTATGAAGTAGAATTGTTTTATCATAAGAAACACTTTTTGCAATAAACTGAAATTGTCATTCTTTTTACTCTAAAGTGAGTTTAATATAGCTCTGGTTGTCACATAGCTAATAATGATTTGAAAAATCCCTGGAAGTCTTAGCCAGTCCTTGTTCCCTTGAGAATACAGAAAGAATGAATGTTCATGCCCTTGAAGAGTCTACCATCCATTAAATGATCTTGGACTGGGGTAGTATCCTTCTACTCCTCTTTTTCCACAAAGATACTAATCTCTTGATAGCTAATCAGCCCATGAAAGAGAACAAGCGAAATAACTGAGTGATAGAAAAGGAAGCAAAACTGTACAACAAAAAACTACACATGACTAACTGGCCGCATTGCATCCCACTAGTTTTACTTGATGTTCCTACATTATTAAAATAATTGACATTAAACAAATACAAAATAAATGTTCCTTGTTCTATTACATTTGGGACCCAATACACGATGATTAAAATCCCATCATGTGCTCTCCAAAGTTTGTAGAATGGCAAAAGAAAATGTGGTTCCTCTGTCAGAGTGTTTAAATATATCATTCAGTTGATAAACATTTAAAAATAAACTCTGCAAAACACTGTACTAGGCAAGCAATAGGGAAAATAAAGGAAGGTGTAAGACTCTACTATGTTGAGATGCTACAATCTAATTGCAGATATAAGATTTTCATGGAGAGAGACAGTGTATGATCAACATACACCTAATGCACGACATTTATTACAAGATATGATTTATTGATAAATTTTGTAATAGAGATAAAAAGTGATACAGGGAGTCAGAAAAGATGAGAGTATGTGAAGTTATAAACATTTTCTCAATTCTTGAAAATTGTTGTACTTTTATTCTCCTGTAAGCAAGGTTATTAAATTTCTTTACATCAAACTTCAAGTTAAACTTCTATTTCCAATCCCATCTCTAGCCACACAATCTTTTCCTCTCCCCTCTTGGCCTTCTCATTCCTCAGTCCTCATTTCTTTCAGGAAGCTTTCTGTCTTTCTTCCTTACCACTGTTAAATATACTTTCTCTTTCTCCTTGGTTTCCCAGAAAAACTCAGCATATGATAGGAGCTACAGCTAGCAATAGCACCCTGTGCATTCTCTGTCAAAGACAGGTAGTTACAGTAAAATGCGATAAATGCCATCTATCTTTCCTGCTAGAACATAAGCCACAAGACTGCTGCAAACATGTCTATCTGGATTTTCACTTTTTTCCTAGCACCTAGTCAGGGCTTGGTTCAATAAGCATCTTTTGAATGAATGAATCCCCAATAGTATATATCTTGGCCTTTAAAGTAAGCAATATTTGGAAGAAAATATCAGCATAGTCAAACATACCATTTGAAGGGCTGAAAGTTCTTCTGTTAATCGAGAAATTTGTATATTGCATTGTTTTTTTGTGTTTGCAACCTGTAAATTAAGACATTTACTCATTATTTGGGTCTAGAATAAAAATGATTAATATCTGATAAAAACACATACAAGAATAATTTTGATAAAAACAAAATTGTAACTTTTAGGGCATAAAAGACAAATAAGCGCACAATATATTAAAGAGCGAAGAATTTGCCATGAAAGTGGAAGAAGAGTGAATAGAATGGTATATCCAAAATGACTGTGGTTGTCAGACATCTTCATCATAGGATGCTTTTGATTCATAAACAGAAGAATTTTTAAAATAATACGCATCACACCCCAGTATTAAATTACTTTTACTTCTGAAGATAAATTAAGATTTAACAATATTTAATAAATAACATTTAATAAAATTTAATTAACATTTAAATATCTTCAGAAAGAACACTATTAATGTGCACAGAGTATTTTGAAAAATTAGTCACATCTCGTCAGGATTTCTCTATGACAATAAATTTTTCTAATAACTATTCATGCTTTTTAAAAGGACTCTGAAGAATACTGATGCCAATGGTAAATCATCAGTAAACTTTTATGATCTAAAGGTCTTTGAGAATTTTCTAGTATCTTGTAAGATGGACTATTTTGAAAATATGATGTAAACCTTGTTTAGAACATTTACAATACTGCCATGTACTTTATACGGTTAATTAATATAAGTTATCTTTCTGAAGGCCTGCCAAGCATACTATTTCTGGGTCTATTTTAGCTATTTTTTTTTTTTTTTTGAGAGGGAGTCCCGCTCTGTGGCCCAGGCTGGAGTGCAGTGGCGCGATATCGGCTCACTGCAAGCTCCGCCTCCCAGGTTCACCCCATTCTCCTGCCTCAGCCTCCAGCCGGGACTACCGGCGCCCGCCACCAGGCCCAGCTAATTTTTTGTATTTTTAGTAGAGACGGGGTTTCACCGTGTTAGCCAGGATGGTCTCGATCTACTGACCCTGTGATCTGCCTGCCTCAGCCTCCCAAAGTGCTGGGATTACAGGCGTGAGTTACCGCGCCCAGCCTATTTTAGCTCTTTTCAAGGTTATAATTTGATGTAGACTTTTCCTATGAATAATTATATTAAAAATCAATGTATTCTGTTTATGGATCAGTAACAATAACAGAATTTATGGAGGATTAATGTGTGTTAGGTACTATTCAGAGTGCTTTACATGTATTATCTCATTAATTCTCACAAAAATCCAATGAGGTTGTTATTATTTCCATTATAGATGAGGAAAACTGAGGCAGAGAAATTAAGTCATAAATGTTCCTATAATATAAAAATTTTGGTTCTTACAAGCCCTGTCATGTCTATCTCTCTCTCACATATTTCTAAAATGTGTTCTTTTTAGTATCTAGAAATGATACAGCTAACTTGAGGGTTTATGACAACAGGAGGGTACATATTTTGAAATACATTTATAGTAATCCTGGCAAATACAGATGAATCAAACTATTCATGCCTTTTGAAAGGACTGTGTAGAACTATTGACACTGATGGCATATCATATGTAAACTTCTGTGCTCCAAAAGTCATATGGAATTTTCTAGAGTTAGTATCTAATGAAACAAAATGTAAACTTTCGTCATGTGAGGAAATACACATTTCAGTGAGGTAGTTTACTGTGATTGGGGTTTTGAAGTCTGTAGAGGGACTAATACACTTCTCTCATCCTATCCTCACTTTATATAAGCATTTCCCTCTATAATTTTATGAAAAGTAAGGATATTTATAAACCAAATAGTAAGATAAACTATTAAGAAATAGGAAAATCCAATAATGGCACTAGCTTTGACTTAAAATCAAAAGTAAACAATGTATTTTTTTTTACAAATTTTATTTATTTGAGAGATATCTAAGAAATAAAGTATTTTCACTTTTTAAAGAAATAAGCCACTGTCATATTTTTGTTCAATTTTATAGCCAGAACAGAAATATGTGACAATTTATTCATTGTATTTACTTCAGTCAATACGAAGAGATACATATAAAGTTATTCTCAATTCAACAGGTTAATTCTACATATTTGAAGGACATGCTGTGAATAATTTGGGATTAAACGAAATTCACAGAACAATGCTAAAAATAGTGGCTATCTCTGGGTATTAAACTTGTAATTTTAATTTTCTTTTATACATATTTTTCATTTATACATATTTTCCATTTCTTTTTACAATGAATATATGTCACTTTTAATAATAATTTTAAAAGTTTACTTAAAAAAATTAACTTGGCAAGAGTGTGGAACTCAGAGGGGGCAAAGACCCAGCAAAATGCATGGCACACAGGAAGTGCTCAATAAATACTTCCTGAGTGAATAGTTGTAATGGCGGGGAAAGGCTGGCTACAGGAAATCAACAGGAACACCTAAGGAAGAAACAATCTGGGACTGACTACAAGAGTAAGTTCAGTTTCAGACATGTTGAGCTTCAGATGCCTGGAAGGATTACATATTTGAATAGGGAAATAATTGGATTTTAGGAAGCATCTGTATTTTCCATTTGCAAAACATTTGGAATGAATGAGATCACAATGCTTGTGAAAAATCCTACTTAGATTATTTAAAGTTTCATGCAAAAGATGAGCTTCATCAACCCCAAAATCAATGTGAATTTATTTTAGGATAAGAAAATACAATTAGAGGAATGCTCATACCATGAATACTTTAATAAAATATTTTTATCATTAAAAGTATAAAGTTTATTAATATTTATTTAAAAAATATGTCGTCAAGAATATTTTAGGCTATAGTCCAATGTTACAGTACTCTCAACTTCACGAATAGGAAGGACAGAGCTCCTGCAGAAAGGATATAGAAGATTAGAAATTAAAAAGCACACGGTTTACTTGGACTCTGCCTTAAATTAAAAATTTTATCTTGGGAAATTATCTAATTTCGGTCATATAAAGATAAAGTAATAGATTTTTTTTTTTTCTTTACACCATGATTCTGTAAAAGTAATAGATTTCTAAGAAATACTTCTACAGGAAGAAATATTATACAGTGGCTTTGTGGAAATAAAAATTCTACCACCTAGTTGCTTGGGAGAAAGCAAACATTTTAACTTTATTTTTTCTAAACTGATGAAGTTTTAAAATCCAGTTTAAAGCAACAGTTCACCTAGAAGAGAAATAATATTGCCCACAAAAAATACAGATAAGGAAAAAAAAGGAACATCTTTATTTTATCAAGTGGAGGGCTATTCAGTATATCCCACTATCCTACTGGAGATAAATTTAAAGGAAAGGAGCCTTTACTCAGTTCCTTTAGTTAGTTTTTAAACACTTATGTTAATAATTTCAAAACAGTCTTTATAACTATGTAGGCAAGTATTTTAATTTTAATTTACAAATATTTAGGTAGAATTTAGTCTTTAGTTGTGACTTAAATTCTGAATTTTAAATATAATTAAAAATCCTTACTTCCTTCTTGGTTCTTATGGTAGCATCTTGTACAAACCGAGAAACTGTCTCTTTCATTTTCTCTATGTCTTCTTCTTTTTGCTTCTCCTCAAGTAGAGCCTTCAGAAAACAATCATTTCATGTTATAGATCACATCATTATTAGCAAAGATAGTAACAGGTAAAAACCTATCCACTAGTCACTTTCTATAAACACCTTATTCAAAACTTCTGGGACATCTCTACTTGAATATCATGTTGAAATCATGAATGATATTTATTTTCCCTAACCTCCTCACCTGCCCTTGTCCTAACTAAAGACACTTTCTCTATGGTATTTATTTCAGCCAATGTTTCTAACACCCTTCTAATCTCTACAGCCAGAAATCTTAAAACCATTTTTGAATTTTCCATTTTTTTTGAGTCCCTATATAAAGTAAATCATCAAATCTAGGTATTGTATCCTTGTAAGAATCTCTTGAATTTCTTTCTCTTTCCATTATTTAGTATTATTCAAATTATGTCACTCATTAACTCATAACTTGATCACTGCAGACACCACTTGTTTTTGTCTCTTTGATGTGTTTCTATCATTCCAATCATTTCCATCTCCCACCAAATAAATATTGCCATAATCCTAGCTCTGCTGTCAGTCACACTCCATTTCCTTGCTTCTCTGTGAAGCAAAACTCTGTAACATGTTCATCTCCAAGACTTTTTCTTTCAATCTCTTTTATACTTCCTTGAATCAGGCTTTCACTATCATGATCTCCATGTTGATTATCTGTAAGTAAATTTTCAGTACTTCTTTACCAGCAGCACTTGAGATATTTACTTTCCTCTCCTTGTACTTTCTGCACGTGATTTTCAGCACATCATACACAGTACTGGTTTTCCCCCTCTCTCACTGATCATTCCTCTTCAGTCTACACTGCTGATTCTTCCTCATCTCCTGAATCTCTTAACACTGGACTACCCAAGGTTCAGTTCTTGCCCCCTCTCTATATGTCCTTCTCTTAGTGGTCTAATCAAATTTCATGGTTTTAAATATCATTTATATGCTGACAATTCCCATATTTATATTTCTAACACAAATCTTTTTTTCTGGGCTTGGAACTCCTTCAATTAGGCCAAGTTGAATCCATTTTAAATCAACATGTAAGTGACCCTGTGTTCTGTTCCCACCATCTTCCAAAGGTACCATACACATTTTTACCTGTTTTTTTAAAAATTGCTTTTTAAGATAAATTTCCTCCACCTTAAACAAGTAAGCTAGTGACAAGTAACAGCTGTTCTTACGTAATAACCTTGAGGGGGAGAAGGGGAACTATGCTAGGCTGCACTTCCTGCCTTGCTTGTATGATCGGTTGGGAGAACCGTTGACTTTGAACAAGCAACTGAAGATGGGAAACCTCTAGCAACTAAGCAATGAGTCAAGGAGCAGCTTAATATTGTGGCCATAGACAGTCTCTGTGAGGGTCTGTTGACTTAGGATTTGAGTGAGAAAATTTGGGAGGAGGATGGGCAATGAGTGTTCCTACTCTTTTCTCTGTCCACTGTGCTCTACACAAGATGTTTATTTTTAATGGCTTGGTATTAAGAGTGCTCATACAAGTAGGCTTCAGAGGGCAGAGATAAAAATTTTGTCTTGACCTTAATTTTTCTAGTTGATTTAGGTATTCGACACAATTCCCAAGCATATTATGTCTATTGTGTGCCTCTTAACCATTCTAAAAGACAGTATTCAGATCACAGATGAAAATATTAGTTGAAAGGCATGATAAACACCTTAGCATTCCCACAGTTAGGATTTAGATAATTTTTTTTTTATTTATTAGCTTCTCAATATCCAACTTACACTATGTTCTGTTTTACTAGATCTCTTGAAAAATCTTCTGTAAAAAGGGAAATATACATAAAACAAAGCACTTCCTTTGTATCCCAACATACTTGCTAGCAGAGTATTCTGCATATACTAGGTTTTCAATAAATGTTGGTAAATAAATTAATGATTTAATGAACTCTACATAAGGGAGGCAGCAAAATAAACATTAAAACATTTATTTTGTGACTTCAATAAACTAAATACATAATTCATAGGGAAGCCGTATATGACAAGGAACACTGTATTTGATAGCACAGGAATCACAATTGTTAGAGAACTAAAAAAGAACAGTGACATGAAGACTTTGGTAAATAAATCTTTAAAGCCAATTAAGCTTCTGCTTTATTAAAGTAATTGAGTATATGACGAAGGGGAATAGAGATGGATAAGATTTATCAGATTCAACTGAATAAAATATAGGGTATACTGCAGTAAAGCACTGTAACAGTGTTTTTTTTTTTTTTTTTTTTTTTAAGTATGAGACTACAGGGTTTGAAGATTAGTTACACAGGGTTTGGGAAAATAAGAAAAGTCTGATATTTATACATTATTTTAGAAAGGAATTGACATTTTATCATATTATCATATTTGGTTTTACCATCCAAGAATATGGTATGATTACTAATGAAGAGAATAGCAATTTCATTTTCATGCATTTATTCTGCAGCTATTGAATCCCTTACTGTGAGGTCACATGGGAGAATAGTCAGCATTTTATTATATCTAAACATATTTACTAGCTGTCTTACCTGACTTTTTTGAAGGTGAGCTTCTTCTAAGAGTTGCATGCTATTTCTGGCTCTTACAATAGCCTCATATCGCTCTTTTTCTAATTCATTGCACTTTGCTTGTAGCTCTCTGGTCTGTTTTTCCAGATGTGTATTTTCTGTTCTTAATTGGTTGGCTTCTTGGATTGTCACACATAATCTAGAAATCAATAATTACACTGGGAAAGTTAAACTTTTTTAAAGGGAAGGAGGGAGATTTCCTGAGCATCTACTACTCAGTAGCATAATACCGGTATTATTATGCTAGTAACTTTCGCAGGTATTAATATTTTCTCATTTGATACTCATTACACTTCTATAAAGTAGGTTTTACTATCTCCATATCTTCATTTTAAAGAACAACAAACATACCCAGAGAGGTCAGGCATTTGATTAAGGTCATAGGGCTAATGAGCAGTGGGGCTGAGACTGAGCCTGGATTTTCTGATCCTAATTATGTTATACTTGTTATGGTATTACACTGTATTATATAGTTACATGACAATGACACAAAGCAAACCCTTAAGAAATGAGTTGTTCTTTACATTTATATGGTCTTTTCTCTTTTCTCCCTTTTCATGCTCTCTACCCAGACAAGCTATGTGAACTTACTAATGTACATATTAAAATAATTTTCTCAATATTCATATGATTTTATATATATATACACTCATACACATATACACATAAATATACACAGATATTATACATACAGCTAACCACAGGAGCTTTTTAATTTTTGTTATAACAATAAAAATCATAATATATACCCTTTTCTGTACTTGCTTTTCTCATCTAATAATATAGAAATCTCATCAAGTTATAAAGGCTCCTTCCTTTCTTAGTCTAATGAATGTAACCTCATTTCACTGTTAATTTGTATTTCTCTATAAGAAACTTTACGCATATTTTCTTCCTTTTGTAAGCCAAATGAATTTTGTTCTTTGAATTTCTTCTAATCTTTGCACATTTTTTTTCTGATGGGTTGTTTACTTTGCTCTTCCCTTTATAAGAACCATAAATTATAAATATTAACCCTTAGTCTGTCCTTTATGCTGAAAATATTTTTTTTTTCCAAATTTACCTTTTGTTGTTCTTGCCTATTGACTCTATTTAGGGAATCTTCATCACACTAAAAATTTAACACAGCTAAATTTGACTATTTTTCAACTTTTGGGATTTCAGTTTTTATAAAGATGGTCTCCTTCATCCATAAATTGTCAGTGTAATCTCTTAGATTTCCTCCAAAGATTTCCATGACTTTAATTTTTACCCCTATATTTTTAATCCTGACTCATTTGAATTTACTCCTGAGTATGATGTAAGAGAAGAGTCCAACTTAAGTTCCAAACTAATGGCCGGTTGTTTGAGTACCATTAGTAACTAATGAATTTAAATACTCCTATTACCATCCTCCAAATATGCAAATATCATATATACAAATATAATAATTTACTAGTAGATTATGTTTCATTAATCTACTTAGTTTTACATGCTCAACTCATTTTAATTTGATTACTGATTTGATTACTTTGGCTTTATCACATGTTTGGTAAGACACATTTTATAATTTTCTTTGTTATTTGTTATTATCAGGCATTTCTTTTTTCTAACTAGTAGAAGAAGCAGGCTTCTCTATTCTCCCCTCCACACTCCCCTCCACTACCCACTTCAAAACCCTCTTCCTGTCAGTCAAGTGGTTTACTTTCTCATGCATTTGGTAATTTTTGATTAAGTTCATATCTGTCTAAACTTAATTTGTGGGAATCCTGAGGGGTCCGTGTTCAAAAGTATTTCACCCAAAGGTTTACTATTGCTTCTTCCATGCACCAGGACTACCTACCAATCTGTTGCCACTTTAGTTTTTGGGGCTGAGGTTTCCAAATGAACAGATAGTATAATATTAAACAACAGTGTCATATGAGGGCAGAGTTATGGTTACACATTCTCAGAGAAGACTACAATGATTATTATGATTTTTATTTTTTCCATTTGGCTACATGATGGAAATAGTTTTATTGGTTGGCTATCACTGTTAAGAAGCAGAAATTTTTTTCTATTTTAGCCTTTTAATTAGAGTGTAGCTCCTTCAAGGGTTCTAGCCTGCCCAAGGACATTTACCTTCTTGTGACATAATATAGATCCAGCCCTGACGTCCTTGGCAGGCAAGTCATTTATTTATCATTCTTGTTTTAGCTTCCTGTTTTTGTTTTTTTATTTGTATGCTTGAGAGTTTCCAACTATATAAGTTGAGCATTTAAATGTAATTAAACAGTTCATGCTATAAATTTTTTATGCTATTAGCATTCTAATATGTAAGTTAAAGAAACAACTTTGAAAACAAATCATGTTGTCATTTATCAAGATGCTTACATTAAGAGGGTTTTTTTCAGAATATTTAGTCTGACATGTTATGTGAATGGAATAGTCTGCACAATCATTATTAATCATTACTTTGTTCTCCTCCATTTCTAACCTGTGTTACTGAATTGTTGGTCCATTCAAATATCTGCCTCAAATCTTAAGAACAGACATTAATCGTATATTATGTCTGCTGTATCTGGCTTTTGTGCTTCCCTTATACTGATATTAGACTTTACCTGAGCCAAGAAAACAGGGATGGCTAAGAAATCCTCCCACCCTTGTCCTCTAAACCCCCTCTATCATTTTGTGTTTCAGAATAGAGTTAACAGCATAAAATAACCCTGCTCTTGCATATTCCAAAATAAGACCCACCTCCATCCTTCCTCATGAGTCCCATAAGACTCATGCACCCCTCGTTTATCCACCTATATAAAACCTCAGGCCCCTTCCTTTTCTTTGAAACATTCCTCATTAATGAGCATTCTCTCTACTGCAATAGCCTGTATAAAATAATCTCCTGAATTATCTGGTACATTTGGTCTTTCACAGTACTAAAGACCCACCTAACTAAATCTTGAGGAAAAACAATTGTATCTAAATTCTGTTTTTCAATCACTTTCATATTAGTCTTTTCAAGCTCTCAAACATATACATATATCCTATGGTAACTTAGCTTTTAAAATGTCTTCAGTCTAGTAAGTGAATATTTGCTGAAGAAAGGAGAAAAAAAGTGATTTGGATTCCGATTAAGTAACGAATGATGTATAAATCTGGGTGCATTCTTTAGTACATATGAGTGAAATCTCAAATATCAATTCAGGCAGATAGTGGTAGCCAACTGAGAGTCAATTATATTATTGAATAATTTTCTTTCCCTAACAATTTAAGCATATGAGTAATGGAGGTCAGAAGGTGGTGGGGGTGATTATACAAGTAAGTGATGCCTATCAATCAGACTTCATTTTAAGTTTTTACTTATTTTTTAAAAACCCTATTTTTAATAGTAGTATCCATTGGTGAATTTTCCCTACTGAGAATAATCCTTTGTATCTGTTTAAATAGGTATAAATGTTGTTTTAAGGACTTTTCTCTGTCATCTACAGAGATAATCAGATATCACCAGATACAGGCCACTTCTAGAATTCCAGAACCTAAAACACTGGTTGGTACAACAGTAGGTGCTCAACACACATTGAAAACATGATGCTTCACCTGTGAATACGAAAGTCCGTCTTAGGAGGGAGTCTTAAAGACTTTTCTTCTAACAATGTACGGAAAATCATATCTAGTCATACTGGGGTATATCTCAACTATCTCTTAGACCTTTTTCTACTACTCCTGTTCAATAGGCATAAAAATAGGGGTTTCAAGTATGCTTTGCATATATCTCCTTTATATTGCCCAAAATTACTGAAAACAAACAAACATATAAAAATTATTAAAACTTCATTTCACTTCTTTTCTTCTCAAATCTAATTATTATTGATTTCTGCAAGGATCATATTTGTTTTCCTCTACCTGTATTAGTTATTCTAAATATTAGCACACAAAAGGCATTGTTGATGTGGGAGAGGTAGTCATATATTTATTTTCACTTTTATTATAGTCATTGTGTCAAATGAAAAGATTTTATTAAACAGATAAATTATTCATTTATAGCAAAATAAAATCATCAAAGCACTTGGAAAATGTTCTCTTTTCAAGATGACTTTTAGCATCTGGTTAAAAATTACTTCTTAGCAAAGACAAATATATATTCTCCCTACCTAAAATAAAGTCCACAATCTAATATCAAGTCATATGGCTCAGCTTGTACAAAGAAAAAAGATTTTAAAAAGAGTACTGCATGGACCATTCTGATATACCAGTGTCCTATACTCAACGGTTTGTAACTATGATGGTATTGGCATTTGAAATGTGTGGGGACATTTGGTAGTTACAATGCTAAGAGGTGCGACTAGAATTTCGTATTTGGTGCCAGGGATGCTAAACATCCTGTAGTTATTGGCACAGTCTCAAACAACTAAGAATTGTCTCACTCAAAAAGCCAATACTCCTGTTGAAAAACATGACACCAATTGATGATGGCTATCAGGACAGAGATGAGTGATGGGTAAAGGTATCCGAAGGGCCACTGCAAATTAGAACTCCCAAGAACGCAAGGGAGAACAGTACTGGGAAGCAGGATACACTAGCACCTGGCCTTCTGGAGGACCAAAAGGATTGATGATCAAGCTTCAGCTTCCAAGATTTTTCTGACATATTATGCGCAAGATGCAAAAAGAATCTACATTTAGCTCTTGAAGTTAATCCTCTTTGTAGGATTTATGGTTCATGATTCCTAAAAAATAGCTTTTAAAAATAACATTCCTCTCCTTTCTTTGCCTTCCATTTTAATGGTTTATTTCTACTGTAACTGTATTATTTTAGAAGTACAGAATTATAGAGGGGTTGAGGTAATATCAAATTTCCTCTTAACTATGATTTTAAAATTTTAACCACTCTTTAGAAGAAAGAAAGATTTTAGGTCACTGAAGGTCAACTATGTTCACACCAAAATCTGCAGGCTGACCTAAGGACAAATGAAAATAAAGGTGTACTTTGTGCTCTGCAGTACTGATACAAAAGCATGATATCAAGGGTTTTATTTGTGTCCCAAAAAGTACTGGACTAAATTTGGCACAACTATTCTCGTTCAAAGTTAAATTAATGTACTTAGTAAAGGTTTTAAAATCATATTAAACAAATTATCTTTGAATATATATTCAAAGTATAGCAATCTGTTGAATATAATTTTTAATAAATAATGTCGATTAAATCAGATTTTACACCTATGATTATAGTTTTGATTTAGAGTTTATAAAATATTTATTCTAGTAAATATCGCACTCTGACACTTTATTATAAAATATCTTTTAAAGCATATCAACAATGCTAGGTGCATTTAACAATTTACCTTATTTCTAATTGTTTTATACTGGACTGTAACTGCTGTAAGCGCCTATCTGATGCTTCCTCTCTTCCATGGGCAGACACCACATCCTTCTCCTGGAAAATAAAGAAACCAGAAGCTTACTTTGAGTATGTGAAAATTCAATACACCATTATACAGCCTAAAGAAAACAGTTCATGCTATAAAGTTACTATGCTATTAGCATTCCAATACATACGTTAAAAGAAACAATGTGACTTTGGAAACAAATCATGTGTATAATAAAAAGGAGGGGAGAACTTCATCATCAATCCTGTATTCATAAAAAACACTCAAAAGTTATTGCATATAGATTTCTACCAATATTTCAGACTATTTCTATAATGCAAGTCTAACAAAACAAGAGAGAGATTTCTATGCAGAGAATCTGCCTTTAGAATATGCTCTCTTAACTATACTATTCTATGTCTCATTAAGTATCAAGGTAATCACAGGGTCTTTCTTCTTTGACATAGTGATGCTTTGACCTATATTAATAAATTTTATTTGTATCATCTTTCTAAAGAAATTTCTTGTTCTTCTTTTCCTGTTTCATGTGTTAACAAATATTTTTTATGATGCCATAACTTTTTGTTTTTCTTTTTGAGACAGAATCTCATTCTGTCTCCCAGGCTGGAGTGCAGTGGCGTGATCTTGGCTCACTGCAACCTCTGCTGCCCAGCTTCAAGCGATTCTCCTGGCTCAGCCTCCCGAGTAGCTGGGATTACAGGCGCCTGCTACCGCGTTTGGCAAATTTTTGTATTTTTAGTAGATACGGGGTTTCACCACATTGGCCAGGATGGCCTTGAACTCCTGATCTAGTGAGCCACCCGCCTCGGCCTCCCAAAGTGCTGGGATTACAGGCATGAGCCACTGCACTCGGCCATTTTTTTTTTTTCTTTTTTTTTTTTTTAGGGTCTTGTCATGTTACCTAGGCTGCACTCAAACTCCTTGGGTCAAGTGATCCTCCTGTCTCAGCCTCTCAAGTAGCTGGGACTATAGGTGCACACCACCATGCCCAGCCTAAGAATGCTATTTTAATTCCTCTATTGCTTTTAGCTATATCTGTTTGAACTATTTTTTAGTAGTTGCTGTAGAGATTACAATATGCATCTTGAACTTACCCAATTTATTTAGAGTTAATATTTAGATAAAAGCTCAGAGAAAACACTGGAACCTTGCAACAGTGTATATCCATGTAGGATCCCAGTCCTGAGTGCCATTGTTGTCATATATTACATCTGCACACTTTACAAATCCATCAAATACAGTGTTATTAGTTCTGTTATAAGCAGTCATCTTTTAAAGATATGAAGAGAAAAGTATGTACACACGTTATTTCATATTTGCCATTTCTGTTGCTTTTAGTTTCTTCTTGTATCTGAGTTGCCATCTGGTGTCATTTCCTTTTAGCCTAAAGAACTTCCTTCAGAATTTTTTGAATGCAGGTCCGCTGGGGACAAACTCTCATTTTTGGTTTATTTGAAAATGCCTGTGTTTTGCCTTCAGTTTTGAAGTATGATTTCACTGAATATAGAAATCTTAGTATTTTTTTCTTCAGCATTTCAAATATATTATTCCAATACTTTCTGTTTTCACACGGTTTTTTTTCACCCTTCCAGCCTTTATTTTTGATTCAAGGGGTACATGGGCAGGCTTGTTACATGGGTAAATTGTGTGTCAGGGGGTTTGGTATACTGATTATTTTGCCACCCAGGTAATGAGCATAGTACCTGATAGGTAGTATTTCAATCCTTACCCTCCTCCCATCCCCTACCCTCAAGTAGGGCCAGTGTATATTGTTCCCTTTAGTGTCCATTTGTACTCAATGTTTAGCCCCCACTTGTAAGTGAGGACATACAGTATTTGGTTTTCTGTTCCTGGGTTAATTTGCTTAGGATAATGGCCTTCAGCTGCATCCATATTGCTGCAAAGGACATGATTTTGCTCTTTTTATGATTGTGTAGTATTCCATGGTGTACACGTAACACATTTTCTTTATCCAGTCTGCTATTGATGGGCATCTAGGTTGATCCCATCTCTTTGTTATAGTGAATAGTGCTGTGATGAACATACATGGGCACGTGTCTTTATGGTGGAACAATTTATATTACTTTGTTATATACCCAGTAATGGGATTGCTGGGTTGAATGGTACTTCTGTTTTGAGTTCTTTGAGAAATCTCCAAACCTTTTTCCACAGTGGCTGAACTAGTTTCCATTCCCACCAGCAGTGGATAAACATTCCCTTTTCTCAGCAACATCACCAGCATCTGTAATTTTTTGACTTTGTAATGATAGCCATTCTGACAGGTATGAGATGGTATCTCATTGTGATTTTGATTTGCATTTCTCTAATTTGTAGTATTCAGCATTTTCTCATTTGCTTGTTGGCTACGTGTATATCTTCTTTTGAAAAGTGTCTGTTTATGTCCTCTGCCTACTTTTTAATGCTTTTTTTTCTTGCAAAATTAAGTTCTTTATGCTGGATATTAGACCTTTGTCAGATGCACAGTTTGCGAATATTTTTTCCCATTCTGTAGGTTGTCTGTTTACTCTGTTGATAGTTTCCTTTGGTATGCAGAAGCTCTTTAGTTTAATTAGGTCCCACTTGTCAATTTTTGTTTTTGTTGCAATTGCTTTTGGAGTCTTTGACATAAAATCTTTGCCAGGGCCTATGTCCAGAAGTGTTTCCACAGTTTCTTGATGAGAACTCAGCCTTTAATCTTATCATTGCCTCTCTGTTCAGGTCATTTTTCTATTGCTACTTTCAGGTATTCTCTTCATAATTGGCTGTCAGTATCATTGTGATGTGTCTTAAAGTGATTCTGTGTTTACGCATTAATATTTTCCACCAAATTTAGGAAGTTTTCAGCCATTATTTCTTTATTTTTTTTCTGCTCCCATCCCCCTCCCTTTGGCAGTTCCAATTACACTTATGTTGTATTGCTTCACATTGTTCTATAGATTTCTGAGCACTTGTTCATTTTTCTTCAATCTTTTAAACTCTCTGTTCTTTGGACAGGGTAATTTCTATTGATCTGACTTCAAGTTCATTGATTATTTCTTCTGTCTTTCCCAATCTGTTTTTGAGTCCATCTAGTGAAATTTTTATTTCAGTTGCTCAACTTTAAAGCTCTAGAGTTTCTTCTTTAAAAATTATGTCCCAGTCCTCAGTTAAAATTATCTATCTCTTCCTAGAGATTTTAATTTAAAAACAGATTTTAATTTCTTGAACATATATATAATAGCTGATTTGAATCTCTGTCTGCTAAATCTAACAGATAGATCCATTTAAAGTCAGTTTCTAATGGCTGCCTCCCTCAGCACCTCCCCGACAAGTATAGGTCATACTTTTCTGTCTAGTAATTTTTTATTGAAAACCCGATAGTGTAGATAATACATTGCAGTTACTTGTTTTGTTCTTTTGAGCATTAATTTCTTTCTTTCTTTCTTTTTTTTAGTTCAAGCAGACAATTATCTTGCTTGGTCTTGAAATTTGAAATCTATTCCACATACAGTATGTATCAGCTGATACATGTAATTAGTTCTTATTGCTTTCCACTATTGCTTTTATAACTAGGCCCTGTGCCTTCATAATTTGAAGATCAGTCAAGATTTGGGCAGAGGTAGGGTTCATCCTCTTTGTGGTTCCCTTGCTTCTAGAGATTCCCTTGTAATTTTCAGCTGCCTTTCCAGCTTTGGGCTTTGTCCTCTGATACTTCAAACAATAAGGAAGGCTTCAGTATGCTGATGCTTCAGTTGCACACATTTCTCGCATGTATTCAATTATAAAAAGTAGTAAACTCAAATATCTAGTTTCATACATCTCCATCTTTCAAAAGTAGATTTCTCTTAGGTCTCTGCCTGCTTCTTCACTGGGTTCTCTGGGGTCCCTCCCCCACTTCCATATGCATAATTTAGTTGTCAGGCATGAATTTGGTAAGAATTTACACTCAGAATTTGGCTCTTTTTCTGTGTGTTACTCTTGCTGCCACTATTTTTTCTTTAAATCTCCTACTGCTTTTCTAGCCCTAAACTTTGACCTGGGTACCTTAAGCCCATACAGAGGTGTTTTCTGAAGCCACAGCTGTGGGGGTTGGGAGAACTGACAGGCCAGAAATCCAAAAATTAACAATTTTTATTTCTTTTACTTTTTTCTGTTTTGGGTGCTTTCTGGTGTTTTAAAAATGTATCCAAGTTTTAAAATTGTTACTTATGGAAGGGTTCTTGTAACACTTAAAAAAAATCTACCATTATTAGAACTCCATAATCAACTTTTTACAGATTGGGAATAAAGCTTAGAAAGTTACATAGCTAATAAGCCCCAGAGTGAGAATTTTCAATAATTATATCTATCTAAAAATAAAGCCTGACTTTTCCTTGACATCCTTCTGAAATTTCTCTATTACATATTTAAAAGAACCAGAGTCTATTATGCCAATAAATATTTTAGTAAATAACATAATAGTATTAAATGCTTGTTTTCCAACTGCAAATAACCAGTTAACTGAAACCTGATCTTGTATTAATCTGCATTTCAGTAACGATGTGATTAAGTGGGATTATGATGTTTTATTGAATTAGGCTACAGAGAATGGAAATAAAAAATTATTTATAAAGTTGTTTTCAATAATATAGTTTAGCTTCCTACTTTCATATTTTATATTTAAGGGTAAAAAAATAATTAATTCATCTTCTGACAACCCTCTTTAACACCTAATTCAAAATAAATCAACAAAATAGAAAGAAAACTAAGCAACAGGTATCCATTTGTCTTAGAAATAGGAAATACCTTCTTTTTCATCTGTCCCTGCAGATCTTCAGTTGCGTTAGTTAACTCTTCCACTTTTGCTACAGCAACTCTCAGCTCTAATTTGGCTTGCCTAAAAAATAAAGTAAATTAATAAACACTGTTTTCATAGACCGCTAAGAATAAAAAATTAGAATAGAAATCTAAATTTGGTAAAATTAGTTCTAATTCTTGTGTACCGAAAATGCATCCATGGAATAAATTTTGGAAGATTCCTTTATTACTAATGAAAGCATGTAGAAGACACTAAAGAAGAAAAAATATAGTTGAATGGTGAAGTGTATGAAGTAGAGGTCATGAATGCTTTATTTGGGTGAGTTATATTATATATCAAAGTAATTCAATAAATTTCTTGAAAAAGCACTTTATCATCTTGATACATTACCTAACAAGAGCTCCAGTGCACTAAGAAGGATATACTTAGGTCTATAATATCCTTATAGAGATGGAGATTGGACTTTCTATGAAAATGAACTTAAACTTCAATACCTTGATCATTCCATAGACACCAGAAGTTTGTATTATGTAAACACTTAACATAAATTAAAATATTTGTCCCACCATAATACAATGTTTATTTTCTTCAGAGACTGTATTGGCAACGAATGAAAAAGACAAGTTTTTGTGAACATTCTAACAGAATCAAGTAAGTTTCAATATCTTCTTGGCTCCTCATAGGAAATGATTTTAGAACAATAAGATAAGACTTTTTAGACAGAAAAAATGATTTTTAATATCATCGTAATTTACCATTGAGTATAAAACACTTTGATTATCTAAAGAACATATTTTTTAAGAAGAAAAATATTTTAGTGTAGGAACTGTTCCCTATTTCTTAATTACATTTTATGTATGTATCTAAATGTAAATCGTATTTGTGCTATAAAACTTACAGAAATTATTTGATGCAAAATTCACAAGTAAATGTTAATTCATTTCCTTTTGACTCTGTCTTTAAAACTGCATTACTTATATAGTGATAAATTTCCTGCAATAGAAAATACAAATCTAATAATAACTGAAAACATCTCAGGTAGTTATTAGGGCCAGGGACTGCTGTAAATGCTTTGCAGTCATCTCACTTGACACTCATAATAACTGTGAATTAAGACTACTACTATGTCAAACTGAAGTAGAGGAGAGCAAGGTTGATAGAGGTTTACCAATATGCCCTAGGATTCACAATAAGTAATAAAACTACTATTTAAAGAGTCCCCTATGACAGACTGTCTACCCTCAAATGGTCCCAATAATATTTTATATGATGAGGCATTTAAGAAAATGTTTTGCTTTAAATTAACCAAGATTATAAAAAAAATCAAACAGGCCGGGCACGGTGGCTCATGCCTGTAATCCCAACACTTTGGGAGGCTGAGGTGGGAGGATCACGAGGTCAAGAGATTGAGACCATCCTGGCCAACATGGTGAAGCCCTGTCTCTACTAAAAATACAAAAATTAGCTGGGTGGGCTGGCGCGCATGCCTGTAGTCCCAGCTACTTGGGAGGCTGAAGCAGGAGAATCGCTTGAACCCGGGAGGTGGAGGTTGCAGTGAGCCGAGATCGCGCCACTGCACTCCAGCCTGGTGACAGAGCAAGACTCCGTCTCAAAGAAAAAACAAACAAACAAACAAAAATATATTTTCTTCATTTGCAAAATGATTTGCCAAAGGAGAAAACAAAAACCACCTTATTTGTGGAAAATCTACGTCAGGCTGAGAGATAATTTTAGGAGTATATCTACAATCTAAATCAACAAATGATTCTACCAGTTATAAAATCCTATATACTTTTAAAGGAAAAACTTAAGGAATAATATATTTAAGTAGTAAGGATAAAACTGAGAAAACTCTGAATAAGCATAGCAACCACGCTGATTTGGTTTTCTTACCTTCAGAAAGGATAAAATATTGCTTGTTCTACTTGTTTCATGGGATTGCTGAACAAGTAAAAATAGATAATGTATATTAGAGTATCCTGTAAACTGTAAGCAAGATAAGGTCATAGTATGATCAAGGAAAAAAAAAAAAGAAAGAAAAAAAAAAAACCTGTTGGAGACACAGGAAGCAAGGTACAATGTGGAGAACACTAGAGGCAGGGACCCAGTTCCGTCACTAACTAGTAATATGCCTTACCGCAATTCACTTGACCATGCTGCACGTCTCAAAGACTTCATGTCCAACAACAGAGGTGGATTAGGCAATTTGCCAAGACCAAAATTCTATAATTAGATTCTTCCCTTATTTTAATCTAATTGGCCTGAGTCTATTTCTAAATTGTCTTTCAATTGTGTATTCCTTTTTCATTCTATGGCCCAAACTTTAGCTTCATTATCACTCATAATACTATTCCAATAGATTCCAAACTCATCTCTTCACTGATGGTCTCCTCTTTCGTTCATTCTTTATAATATATCTTATCTGTTAAAAAAGTTACCTAGTACTAAAAACTCCTATTTAACAATGATTCCTGGATTCCACACTTTTTGGCATAAAGTCTACACTCCCCTACATGGCATATAAGGCCAGTCAACATCTAACATCAAAGAGTCTCATCTCTTGCCAATTACCCCCATGTAATTTATATTCCAAGTATAATAAAACACTCACTCAGTGTTTCTTAAACACATCTTTGTTTCTTTTTTCACATGTTTGGTTGGACTAGTCTTCTCCTTCATTTTCTAACCAATTCCTTAAGTTTGACCTAGTTCAAAAGTCTCCCTATCTTCAAGTCTTCACTAATTTCCCCTTGGTGAAAACCCTATATCTCAATACTTATAATATATAATACTTTATACGCTATTGATTGACTACACTGTATTGTAATCAATACTATAGAGATTCTCCTTTATGGAACTGTGAGTTCATAAAAAATATACAATGTAAGATAATTAAAAGCAAGGATCACATCTTATTAATTTTTAAACCCTCAGGAGATAGCACAGTACCTAGGGCACAGGAGACAAGTAAATCTATCATAAATGAATGAGAGGGCAAAAAGAAAAGGTGAGAAGAGGGAGGGGGAAAGGGAGAGGAGTGGGAGGGAGAAGGAGAGGGAGAGGGAGGGAGAGATGGAGAGAGAAAGAGAGGGAGAGAAAGACAGAGAAAGAGAATGTTACAAGTACAACTATATATTGATATTTTACCTAGATCTTGCACGCCCAATTTAATATTCATGTGTGAAAAATTCTAGAAAAATAATTTATGAACAATTATTCCAAATATATATTATCTCATATTCCTTTGAGATGAAATCTCCTGCTACATAGGTAAAAAGAAAAAAAAATAGGCACTGGACTTAGACCTAATTTGGAAGTCATTATAAAAAAAATTCTGAAAACATTCATATTATATTATATTCATTAAAACACAAATACTATTTTTTTGGGGGCAAATAAGTAGTAGTTTTCCACATTGTTCCATAGAACAGTTAGAAAGTAAGTAAATAGTTCTTTTTATCTACTTTTGGCATGACAGGTTGAAAAAAATTCTAAAATAAAAGGCAGAAAGCCTGTCTTCTAGAACTGACTCTACAAACACAAAAGGTATGTGAACTGAGCCAATCACTTAACTTCTCTGAGTCTTAGTATCTATAAAATGGAGATAAAAACAGTTTTCCCATATAGTTCACAGAATTATAAAGATTAAATAAGTTAATGCATATTAAAACATTTTATAAATTTTACTGTAGTTTATACAATGCAGCTACCATCATCATTTTGTCTTTTTATTAGATTAAATAGTCAGGAACTGTGTAGTAAAGTATTAATTTACAGTTGGACTGGGAAAGCTCTGGGGATGCCTGAATGTCTAGCCTTGACTCTTAGCCAGTATATGAACAGCGGGATTTATGATGTGCTGTTTAAAGTATGAATCTCTTCCTGCAGCCTGTTGATTTGTTTACTGATGATTTTCACTGGGCATAACTAGACAGCCAGGGTAGGCTATGTGAACTAAGTGGCAAAAAAAAAAAAAAAAAAAAAAAAAAATGACCCTGATGGGAACTCCTGCCTGGAGCGCTCCTGAAGCCAAGATTCATTGCACAGATTCTTGGTGGCTCAAGGTGGAGACAAAGCATGTCTGTGTATAAATAAAGGCCCTAGGGTGCCTATGCTTGAAGGTGTCCTGGATGCTATATGCTTGCCTATGTTCTTTTTCTGGCTGCACAATATCCTTTGGCCTTTAAATAAAAGCCTTCTGTAAGTATGCCCTGTGCGGTCTTGTGAGTTCTTTCAAATATTCACGCTTTTAAAATTTTTGAAGGAACTAAAAAATAATTCTAATATTATTTTATGAAGAAACTCAATAATTACGTTCATACTATTTACATGCAAATGTTTTAGATACATGTCTCCCTGTGTATGTAATTTTATAAAAGTTAAAAACAGTTTAACAAAAAAATTTTGATTTAAAAAAAACACAACTAGTTAACTATTAACAATCTTGATGTCATAACTACCCAAGGATTTTACTTTTGCTTGAAATAAATATTCTAAAAAGCACATTACTTTATTTTCAGGTATGTTTGTTAATCCACTTTATATTCCTGGGATTTTTCATTAATGTATTTTTTCATTGCTTATGATATTAAACACATTTGAATGACAACTTATTTATTATCATCATTTTTTGAGACAGAGTCTGGCTCTGTCGCCCAGGCTGGAGTGCAGTGGCACCATCTCGGTTCACTGCAAGCTCCGCCTCCAGGATTCATGCCATTCTCCTGCCTCAGCCTCCTGAGTAGCTGGGACTACAGGCGCCCACCACCACACCCGGCTAAGTTTTTGTATTCTTCAGTAGAGGCAGGGTTTCACCATGTTAGCCAGGATGGTCTCGATCTGCTGACCTTGTGATCCGCCTGACTCAGCCTCCCAGAGTGCTGGGATTACAGGCGTGAGCCACCGCACCTGGCCGACAACTTTTAAAAAAATAAAACTTCGTTAAGCAAAATGTAATCAAGTATAACATAAAGGATAGCATATAATACTAGATTTAAATTATACCATCAATTTGGACAGAAATTAAAATGCTTTAATTATCAATACACTTTTTTGAGACTTAACATCAAGTACAATGA